CAATAAAATGCTTAAGTTCTATTATATACCTAATCATATTTTGTGAATTTTAATTTTTAAATTTATTTTAGATTTTATGTTTTATTGATTTATTTTTTAAAATATGACTTAACAACTGGTTTAAGGCTATTTATTAAGCCTGAGATAAATATGTATTTTAACATTTTATGATTTAAGCAGAACACTGTTAAGTTGCTGTTAACTAACTGCGTGCTAAAAACTCTGTTAAGATCTGCAGCGGTTTATGTGTTATGAGTGCTTAAGAGCGTTTGCTGTTAAATTCATGTTAATAACATGCGCATGTTAACTACTCTCTGTTGACTTTATTTAGCCTTGCTTCTTTCGGTGTTGGTTTCTATTATTGCCTGCCTTTCCTTGGTTTCTGTTGGTATGTTATACAACACACAATATACACATACACTATTTAAATATACGTATATCCCGAATTCTATAGAGATCCATGGCCTCTGCTTTAGCTGCTTGCTAATCCCATTGCTTTGTCTTTGCAGCTTGAAGAGCGCCAGCGGGCACAAGCAGCCGTCGACGCGCTCCAATCAAAATGGAGCTGGGCCGCCCGCGGGCGGGGCCAATGGATTACCGAAGTCGACGCCCAGCAGCACGGATGACATGAACTCGGCGCTGCTGAAGTCGCCCAGCGATTCGAGCGATGCTGCCGCAGCTGGGAATGCGACGAGCATGTTTGGCAAATTCAAGGGATTCACATTGCGCCCGCTGAACAGTGCCAGCTCGCCGGCGAGCAACTACAGCGGGCCGAATGTGGCCTTTGTGCAGCCGACGGTGCAGCAGGACAGCAATGGGGTACCACAGCGGGCGGCACCGCCTCCGCCCGTTGTCAAGCCACTGGCAGAGCAGGGCGCAACAAAGGCGGCCAGCACATTGCCCAGAGCAGCGCCTGCGCTGCCACCGCCGAATCCCGGCTCGACAGCACGTCCCATCATATCGAAGCCCAAGCTGGACTCCAGCACGCTGACCATGGTGCCGCTGAAGGGCGGCGATGGGGATCTGTCGCCCACGCGGTCGGCGCCCGCTCCACCCGTGCCGCTGCACACGGATCCCAAGCTGAACATCAAGCGGGATGGCACCATCCGTCGCTTTGCCTCGTTCCTGAAGAAGGAGGAGAAGCCCCCGCTCAAAGAGAAGACCTACATTGATCGCGAGCGATTGCGCACATTGGAAATATCGGCACCGATGCCGGCGGCCGTGCCGTTGCCGCTGCAGGCAGAGTCCTCCAACTCGGACTCGGAGACAACACCACGCGAGGAGGAGACCAAGAACCTAGTGAAGCGCACCCAGTCGATGCGCTCGCCCACCAAGAAGACGCAGGTGCAAACCTTTGGCTCGATGCGTTCGCCTCCCGGTGCAGCCCGGCCCAAGAGCTCAGTGAACACTGCCAACTCCACTGGCACACGACCCAAGTCCCCGCCCCCACGACCCCCGCCGGTGGCCAAGAAAACCAACTCAACCACCCTGTCGGGCTATCAGCTGCCGGTGGCCACCGCCCAGACGACGGCGGAGAATAACTACGACGATTGCGAGTTCGTGGAGTCGCCGATGCGGGCCTCCAGCGATGCCATCTACTCGGTGATTGACGAGATTCCGCCGGCCGCACAAACACTGAAGCACAGCGATCTGGTGGCCGGCCTGGCCAGCGCAGGAGGAGGCGACGATATGGGTTTGCTGGGTGAGATTGTCAATGAGTTTGAGAAACTCAATGGCGGCGACTCCATCTACTCAGGAAAGGTATCAGCCGCAACAGCTGCTGCGTCAACCACAGCTCTAGATCCGCCAGTGGACGAGCCGGAAGCGCCACGAAGTCCACAGCGTCCGGCACCGCCGCGACCGGCGGGCAGCAACAGAAACAGCAGCTCGACCAGCGCTGAGGAGAAGCCCGCCGTGACGCCCACATATCTGCGCGCACCTCCCATCAATGCGCCTGTGGCGCGTGTGGCGCCTACACGCTCCGACATCTCACCGTCGCGCGCGTTTTCCAGCTTCAAGCCGGCGCCAGCAAATGCAGCCAACGGCAGCAGCAGCAGCAGCAGCAGCAAAACGAACAGTAACAGCAGCGGCAGCAACGCCAGCAGCAGAACAGCTGCAGCGCAGCCGGCCCGAATCAGTGGAGGCGCGCGTCCGAAGTCCTTTACCAAGACAGCTAAAGCACTGCCCAATGGCGTGTCAGCCGCGCCCTCGGCCACCATACAGAAGCCCAAGCCGCTCTCGGCGAAGCCGTCGCTCAGCGGCGAATTGCCGAAGCGTCTGGCTGGCGCAGCGTCTGCGGCGACAGCGGCCGCACCAACACCACCCACAGTGAAGGCGTCGACGAATATAGCGTCGCTGACGCAGCGATTCGAGCAGCGAAAGTAGTTAGGAGCGGATTCAAACCTATGACTTTATATAATGTAAGCTAGGTTAGGTACGATCAAATATCATTTTTGGCACTGATTATCGAAACAGTTGTTGATATTCATTCCTTTTAGCTATCCCTCTAGCTAGGTCTAAGACGTTGCTTAATTTACGTGCTTTTTAGTATCTCAATGATGTTATTTTAAGCCTAATTTACGATATCGTATTGATATTTAGCTATATTATTATTATAATATATATATATAGCCTACTCACTAAATTTAAATGTATGTAATATTGTTTATATAACTTTATATGCTGTTTGCTTTTGTAAATAAAAACCAAAGAAGTCCAATTGTCACAAAAAACAAAAGAAAACGAAAACAAATTTTCGCTGCTAACTGAAAGCAATTACTCAATGCAAAATAGTCCATGGTACTCTTAATTATAATGTTATAATGTTGTACAGTTGTAAAGCGCACTAGCGATATTTCAAAACGAATAAAGAACTATTCATTCAATTTAAGTCATATTTGCTTGGGGGAAACAATTTTAAAATGAGTTTGAATTAAATCCGTTTCATGTTATGGAGCTGGGCAGCACTGAAAAATAATTCGCCGTATTTTTTGCTGTCGAGTGGTGGCACATCGATATTCATGACGAATCTTCAAGTATCGAAATGCTGTAATATCGATATGTTGAATTAAAATGAGCGCAAAAAAGGTAAACAATTGTTATTTCGCTTTAAAAACAGAATAAAACACCAGAATATTGTGTACAGAAACCATGGGTGAAGTCGGCATTCAGTCAGCTAACCATGACACCAAAGGCCGGCCCAGTTACAGTGCCCTACAAGCGCACAAGAAGTGCCGCAGCTGCAGCCGCAAAGGCGGCGGATGCAACTGTAGAACCCACTCCCCCAAATACACCGCAAATTGTCGACTTAACTTTGAATGAGGATGATGAAGGAGAGGCCAATGCAGCGACACCAGTTGTAAGTGAAAACTGGATGGATTGCTTTGCGCCAAGCACAAGCGAAGATCTGGCTGTTCACCCCAAGAAAGTTGGTGATGTGCGCAACTGGTTGCAGCACTGCGAGGCGATGCGAAAAAAGTATCCGGCCCAGATTTGTCTCCTGACGGGACCAGCAGGCTGCGGCAAAACGGCCACGCTTCGTGTTCTGGCCCAAGAAATGGGATACGAGCTGCAAGAATGGATTAATCCCACAGACTGTGAGGAGATCAATGCGCTGGGCGACCAACCTAACGAGGGAACTTATATGGGCTCCCAGCTGCAGGCCTTCAAGAGCTTTTTACTGCGCGCCTCCCGCTACAAGTCGCTGCTGTCCACAGGGAACAAGCGATTGCTCCTCGTTGAGGACTTTCCGAATTGTTTGTTAAAAGATGCAGCAGCTACATTTGAAGATTTGCTAGAGTAAGTTCTAGGCACGCAATGAGAAGAATCTGATCTATAACAAAAAAGTTATTTTCAGTGAATATGCCAACTATGGCAAGTCCCCGTTGGTCTTCATAGTAGCCGACAGCAAGTCCCGTATGCTGAACATCAGTTACAAGCTGTTTACGGATCAACTGAAGGCCAAACTCCGCATCGAACACATTAGCTTCAATTCCATAGCAGCGACTCTTATGCAAAAGTCCATGAAGCGCTTTGCCACCCTGATGCAGCAGTCCCAGCACAAGAGTCTATATAAGTTGCCTACGCAGACGGTTCTGGACTCGATTGTGGTGTGCGCCCAAGGCGACATTCGGAATGCGCTGATCAATCTGCATTTTGGTTCGCTGAAAGGTGCGCCGGGCATGGAAACCAAACAGCTGAATGTTAGCGCTCCAAGCAAAGGACGCAAACGAAAGGCAACAAATACATTAAAATCGATTGGACGGGACGAGTCTATAACAATGATGCATGCGCTGGGTCGAGTTTTCAATCCCAAATGTAATACAATAATTGAATAACATTTCGCTGTTTATATTGCACCTGACTGAATCCTTTCGCTATTGCAGATACTGAAGCTAAGGACAAGTGTCTGCTGCACAATCCTGAGGACTTAGCTGAAGCCTTTTCCACAGAGCCAAGAAATTTTGTTAACTTTATACACGCCAACTACCTGCCGCATTTCCAGGACATTGCCGATGTCAATTCCGCGCTCAACGATATTGGGCTGGCGGACATGTTGCTTCAAGAGTACAGAGATGAATCGCTCTCATTGGTGGGCCTCACCATAGCCGTGCGTGGCTGCATGGTGGCCAATGTGGCGCCTGTCTCAGGCTGGATGCCTGTGCGAGGGCCCAAACGTCTTACGATTGAGCCACAGCTGACGCCAGCGGAGCAAAAGACACTGGGCGTGGCAAGTGGCCGTATCTCTAAGCGTCTCTATGCTAGTGAATACAGCTCATTTGTAAAACTCATAGCCGATAAAACAAACTAGGAAAGCTAATTTATAAAATATAGCAACTATTAGAACAAATTTTCAAATTTTGTCTACAAATAATTTTTTTACAATTAAATAAAATATTACAATTCAACGCTTTTATTCAAATACAATTCGGGGTTATCTTTATAAAATTTCAAAAAATTCCACAATCTTTTATGCTTTTGTTTGTTTTTCGTTTTGTTTGGGATTTGAAGCTTTTGATTATAGCACAAGCATGTTAAAACTACATAAAAAGCATTTGCATTTTTTTGCGTTCAATTTGAAGTAACTTCAATTCAGTTATTTTCTCCAGGGGTTAGGTATATCATATAATTATTCCAAGGTGTCTTTTTAATAAGCTTATGGCTACAACTTAGGTGTTAAAAACTACTTAAACGTTAACAGAGTTTTCCTAAATCATGCAACGTTTCTACCACAAGTATTAGATCATCTATGTACAGTTCGAGAACCCAATTAATTTCACACGGAACAGTTTAATTGGGCTCTCCGTTGACGGCATCGTTATTCTTGGCATCCTCACTGGAGTTGTCATCGTCCTCCATGCGGTTGGCGTCCAACAGAAGCAACTGCTCCTCCTCGTTGGCATGCCCGTTCTGGTGGGCTTCAATCACCAGCTGAGGCGATCGTGAATGGCTGCGACTATGCCGATTGGCGCGAGACTCCGCATGGCCGTTGGCTATATTTAAGCCTGCGACGCCCATTTCGTGGCCATCGCTGGTCGAGGATGAGCTGGATGTAGTGCTAGATGTGGAGCTGCTGCTGTCACTTTCACTGTCCTCACTAGACGAGTCCATGGGCGTCGGCTCTTGGGGTTGCTGGCGCGCCTCCAGTTCACAGGCGGCACTCGCCGTTGGAGCGGATGCCGAGGGAGGTGATGCCGCCGCTGCGATCCCAACGAGTAGGGTCGGCGATCGCGGTCGTATCATATGTGATCGCAGCACTAAAATTGACATTTTGTTTTAAAATGGTAAGAGAAATGTAAATTTATCACTTTACTCACTTTGATTTTCGCGCGTTAAATCACGAATCTTTTCTTCCAGAGCGCGAATTTTGGCACCAAACTCCTTTGATATGTTTTGTGCATTGAGACTTAGTTGACGCTGTCGTCCTTGATCTTTAGCGTACCGATCCTCGATTTGCAGGCACTCTTGTATGAGCTCCTGTTTACTCATCGTCTCTAGTCGCTCGACTCGCGCACGTTCGTAGACGTTTGAGAATTCCTTGGACAGAAACAATTCCTGATCCTCGGTTTGTGAGCCGAAGCAATTATCTTCAAAATCGTCTCTGGGCAACTCAGACATATGCTCCTCCATCAGGAAACGATTCGTGTTGTAGGGCACCAGCAGCGAACGCGAGCGAACGAGTTTGGTGCGAGCTCCACTGCTGCAGCCGGCATTTGCGCTGTTCATGGTTGCCACGGCTCCCATATCCATTTTCCAGGGCGGATACTGATTCTTCGTCTTCTTGGGCAGCATTTTGGATTTCTTTCCTCGTCGATGCTTGCGCCTTTGTGTGGCGCCGGGAACGCCTTGGGAACTTTCTTCAAAGACAATGAAACGAAATTATATTTTCTTTTTGAATAACGGCCGTCAATCGATTACAATTTAGCAACTCTGGCAACGAAAGCGAAATCAACAGCAGGAGCCTATCGATGTCTACTAATAAGATAGTCGCCATTGTCGCTTACATACGCACGAATGCAAATTTTGTTTGCACAGCTCTGTGACCAATTTTTACCTGGTTTTGCAGCTTCAGCCATTAGAAATTCACGCACAAAACAGTTGATGTTGGATTTTAGCACAAGTATATGTGTTTTCACAAAATAAACACTTGTTAAACTTAATTTAAGACCTTAGCTCAAAGCGAGAGCAGCGCGTATGAAAGACGAATGGCTAAAAACAATGTCTACACCGATAGTTGTATCTGAGTAGAATCGATTTGCCCGACTGCATATCGATGTGTTGTAGTTGTAGCTGTATCGTAAAACTCCTACAATTTGAATAAATTTCGGACTCACAGTTACTTTTTGTACCCAAGTTTACTTATATATTTTACCAAAATCATAACGCCAGTACATATAGAATTGTATAATTCAATTGGTCAGGCCTTTAGATTGCGATGTATCCACTCAATGTAGGAAGCCACACGGGTGTAGATATCCGGCCAGCCAGTACTTGGACACGGTACAGGACCGAAAGACAACAAACCGCCAAGAAGATAAACGTTATTCTTTAACAACATAAGCGGACCGCCAGCGTTGCCATGGCACTCATTGGTTCTGGCAGACCCGCACAATTGGGATGCCATAATATGTATATTTTGGGCGGCATATTGCTTTTGACAGGTTTCGATGGATTCAATGATTACTTCATTCTTTCTTAGGCGCGAACTGGAGGTGGCCTTCCAGCCACCCACTTCCGTAACCAGATCTTCCAGCTCATCGGCGTGCAGCTGCTGGTTAGGCAAGCAAATGGGCTGCACGTAGTTGTTGAGCTTGACCGCATCCTTCAATCGTATCATTGCAATATCATACGTTTGACTAGGGCTGTCCTTGTTATAGTCCGGGTGCACAATGACCTCTTCGATGAGCACGTCCTGGTAAGGAGGAGCACATTCCGTTTTGATAGGCACCCCACTGACCTGGCAATCCGGATTTGTCAACGTATCCCATTCGCCCAACCGTACGGCACGCATTTGCCAGCCTCCGTTGCTTATCGCCTTTCCAGACGCACAATGAGCCGCCGTTAAAACATAGCGTTCGCTGATCAGAACGCCGCCGCAAGCGTGAAGTTTCTCTTGGCTTGCTGCGTAATTTGGGGGAAAAAAACAATGATAAGAATTAAGCTCACAATTAGTGTAATTATAAATGTGATTTACTCACGTTTCGTATACTCAATCAACGCCAGCCACGGATACTCATTTATTTTCGTTTCCGTATCATTGGAGCGCTGCCATTTGACCCCACCGCATTCGCGAGGCAGTAGTGGATGTGTCAAAGCGCCCAAGCTATCTCTACTCGTTTGCCCTACGCCAGCCACACCATGAATGGGGCAACACACCTAAACAACACATAAATAATTTGGATTTGCATAAATCTATTGACTACTTACGTTAATATTGCCATTCTGTTGTCGATTGCACTGATTATCCCGGAGCAGATTCCTATCCGACTGGGAAACAGGCGGCGCAGAAAGTATCCCCATGAAGTACTCACACTCGCGCACAGGAATACATTGGCCCGTGACTCGTCCATTCCGGGTGAGCGACAAACAGTCTCCTTTCCGCTGGGCTGCAAATAAGTCCCAGTGTTAAGCTCACAAAAGACGAGTTTATTAAAAAATCCCATAATTACCTGCTGCTGCGCTTAATGTCACCGCCCAGACAGCAACAATGGCTGCTAACCTGCCTGAATAAACTCCCATGCCTGTATAGTTAGACGCTTTCACACAGTCAGTCGGAATGTTTAGAATATTCGTGTATGGGCAGGCCAAGCTGTTGAAACGACGCCAATCAAGTTGGTGTTATGACTGAACGATCGAGTTCTGAGCCAAGCTGCTGTCTCCCACAGAGAGAGCGTGATTTCAGATAACATAAATTAAGTGGCTTCATTTATGTGTCGAACGGCCGGCAGGGTGACCATAAGAAAATTCAAATTGTTATTACGTTCGATTTGAAACTTTTAAACACTACAGTTGATTGTAACCGTTAATATCCGAGTAATGTGAAATAAAATCAAAATTATTTACAAGTGGGATAAACGTAACCGTCGTCTGTCCGGTAACTGTGAACAGAAACGAAATACTTGTGACAAACAGTAGCGGTCCGCTGTTGGCCTGTTACACATTAACAGCATCTGTTAAATTCAAAACAGCAGTTCATTTGCAGCTTTTGTCGCAAATTAAAGATCAAAATATTAAATTATGGTTTTTAATCTATAACTAAAGTCACCCCGAAACACTTTAAACACAAAATACACATATAGGTTTCCAAAAATTTGAATACGATTGAAAGAAAATGATCCAGACAAGAGTAAATGTTCGCTGTTAATAGCAGTTCAGCAAAATGTTATCCATATGTCGTTGTATTTGTGTTAACATACTTTACACGTATGCGCACACACGCTCAAAAAGTTCGCAGGCGCGTGAAGAAATTAAATTTAATAAAATAATCGCATTTAAATCGATGCCCAAGCTATAAAAACACAATAAAGTGTATCAATAAAAATTTTCCTACAGCCTGTCGATTGTTTTGAGTTGGCTATCAAAAGATTTCAGGTCGAAAATTGCAATTGAAAGTGTGATCATAGTGCAAAGGAAAAATTTTCTGCAAAAAATTCCCAGGTCTGTTTGCTGGCGTAATTGGCAATGTATCAGGTTGACTTTGTGTGCGTGCGTGCGAGAGTGTTGGTGAATTTGTACGAGCTATGGTGCATGAGTGTTGAGAGCGCTGAATAGCTTGGACTAGTGTGTATGTGTGAGCGCAAATGCAAACAGAAGCAAAGAGCGCGGAACAACAACCGTCTAGAGTTGTCGAGCTGCAGGCTAAAATTTATAAATTATGTGTTTTAAGCCAAATTTAACATCAAAATTGATCAAAACTTTATATTTATTTTCAAAATAAATTATGTAACGTTATTGCATACTTTACCTAATTTTGATTTTTAATAATTTTACCAAAAGATTCAGTAAACTATGCGGTAACCCTGCTCTTGGGAGGGTACCTAAAACAACAAAACCAAGTATATTGCGCGCGTCGCTGCGGCGCCAGTTTGACGTTTGACTCGTCATCAGACGGTTGGGTAAATTTTTTCTCTCAGTTGCTGCTGCCGCTGTGTGCTTGTTTATGTATGTATGTGTTGTGTTTTTGTGTGAGTGTGTGTAGGTCTGTGTTTGCACTGCTTGTGACGCATTCTTGTTTTGAGGCAAATCAACGCTAAAAACAAACTTTGAACGGCGCATATAGCAAAGAAAGAAATGAATCGTTGATTATAAAGAAATGCTGAAAATTTGAAGATCATTTTGGTTATAGTGATAATTGAAATAAGCAGAAACAAGTACAATCAACATATGTACAAGGTAATGAGTGCAGCGATGGTGGTGTACTGACCGCGCTGGTATGGGTGTGTCGCTCTCTGTTTAGCTGTTTTTGTGTGGAAGTGAAAGATGTGAAAGAAAAAGAAGGCACAAAAAAGGGCGACGTCGCCTCGGCTGAATATAAAGCAAAACGAATAAAATTGCCGGCATTGTCGAATTTCAAGTGCGCTTTACATACATATGCTTGTATATGAAAAAAAAAAAAAAAAAAAACAAAGGGTTGTCGGGCAGTAAATAATGAAACAAGTGAAATAAAAATACTGTGCTAAATAAATACTAAAGCCATAGCTTGCAAAACGGCTTTCTTTTAA